GTAGGCACTGTAATTGCCTTCATTTCACCTATGAGGATACTGAAGTTTGGTAACTTTCTCAAGATCCCATAGCTGAATGAGCCATGGAGTGGGGATTAGCAACCTAGGAAGTCAATGTTTCAATCGTGATTTTATTGTTCATGCTTCCAGGAACACTGAAGTGAGACCTTTAGATTTCCCTCTAGGACAAATGAAAAGATACGTTGTGATTATTTAGCATTTCAACCATGGGATTGGGAGTATTATTATTATTATTACTATGTGAACTTTGTACATGCAACCTCTCATCCAATTCCCTGATTCCAATTATTTGGAGACAAAGGCACAGAAATGAATTGACATAGTCAGTTAGAACCAAAGCCAACTCTGTAACCAGAGTCTTCCTATTAGCTATTTGCATTTTCTTCTCTTCTCTTCTGTTGAAGACAAAGTTAAGTAACACATGCATTTCCGCTATGATCTTCTTTTCGACAAAAAAAAAAAAATATTTTGAGACCTACAATGAGGTGAGTGAAACTTCAGCCAGCTCCCAGGGAATCATGTTACTCTCCTTGCCTCTGGGAGAGGGGATATAACACTCAGAAAGAACAGCTCAAAAAAAGCATCATTTTTGATGGAGTGCAAGGTATGAAATTAATCATTTTCAGGAAACTATCAGAGCAATATATTTCTTATACTACATATATAATAATCCACATTACAGGTACTGTACACACACTTTAATGGGCCATTTGCTTTCTGATTGTTTATTACACAGTGCTGTATTTGCATATGATAGAGGATTTGAGGAAGAATAGTGAGGTATTTTTTATGTCTACTTTAAGCTGTTAGTTTTACTGCATTTCGGGATGTGGAGAATTGTCTTGTAGTCAAATTGAGCTATAAAGACTAAATTGAATTATCCCTATGGAATAGCTGTTAAGTCTCCAGGGAGTAGGAAGGTCCCACAAAAAGCGATGACAGATTGCAATGAGGATCCCTGCTGAATGCAGCCAGCTAGAGAGGGATACGCTAGATTAGGCAAGGGCTGGGACTTCCGTGAGCCTTTAATCACATTTTATAATTGATGGGTAGTATCATACTCTTGCTGCCTGATTTGTTGATCCCTTGAATCTGAACTTCCCAAGGCTTAATAACTGTAAGGGAGTCTGTGAACACTAGAAAAGGGCAAAAACACCATTCCTTCCAAAAGCCCTTACTTAGCACCGCGGTGACTTAGTGACTGGGAGCAAAGCTGATTTTGCAGCAGATATGGTGTCTTTGGGGAAAACTTTAAGCTTGACTACAGAAAGAGTTTGTACTCCTTTAACAGTGCAAACCATTGCTTCCCATAAGGAATTCCCAAAGGAGATAGACTAGGTATATAAATTGTGTGTGTGTGTGTGTGTGTGTACATGTGCAAGTGTATAGTGATATGGATTCTCACTTAGGCAGAGTTTGGGAAGCAATTTGGAAGAAAAATAATGTAAGTTTTTTCTTCTAAATTGTGAAGGCTCAAACTAAGGTGGTCTACCTGCACAGTAAAACAATTTTCTTGGGTTTTTTTTTTCCAAATGCATTAGTGCTAAATGGATTCTTTATGCCGCATGTTAATGATACCGCCAATTAAGCCCTGAGGTGTAATGTATACTAGCAAAGTTTTAGGCAACTTGATAAGTGCTATAGTCATTTAAAAATCACCACTTATTAAACACTTGTTAAATTTTTTAAAGTTTATTAAAGTTTTAGATAACGATTCTTTAAGAAAAGGAAATGATAGAAGCTACCGATGTTCAGAAACTGAAGTTTTCTTGTTCCTTCTTCCATTTTTTTCTCTGCTTATTCAGTAACTCTAATATATCTTATCATTACACACACATAATATGTATAAAGACTTTCTTTTTCAATATTACTATAGGGATCTTAGTTATTTATACCTAAGGCTCAGGCTTTTATACTTTCAAGCCCCAGTTTATGAACAATGAGTGAGCAATGTTCTTAATAAACTTACTGTATTTCAACTTGGTCTGCCATGTCTTAGCAAAATGGCAGGCAGTGATACCCCTTGATGTTTATGACATTAGGCTAAGCTGAACTTCTGGGAGTGCATGATCTCAATGTAAGTGCCTCTCTGTCAGCAGATTGGGCTCAAGGAAGCTGATATATTGTGAAATATTTATTGAAACAATATTGGGAAAGGGGTAGGAACGAGCCTGCTTTCCATGGCTCAAGACTCCAAACGTAGAATAAAAAATGTCATGAGCAAGACGGGGCTTATGTTAATTAGCAGACAGTTGACCTAAGTTCACTTGGGCAAGTTGCAGAATTGTCAGAAGCTTTGGCCATGAGCCAGAGATAGACAAGTAATGTCACTGGCTCTTCTGGAGCCAGTGAGGTAACTAATTCCTCCCTAGCATCATTCTAATTTTTCCAAACTGAAGGAGTCAGGGACCTGACATAAATATTCTAAAATGTTGACAACCTTTAATCCAAGTGTGATTCCCATGAGCATCCTCTGTCTCACACCCTGAAATCCAACGGCAATTTCCAAGAAAATGTATTAACATGATATTTCAAAATATAAAAAAAATTAATTATATGTATCAAAGAAGAAAACAAACACAAGGTCATTTAAATGACATAGCTTGTTCAGATAATTCCATAATAAGATTGCAAAAAGAATCAGATTTTTGCTGTCAGTGACAGGGTGACCTACTCTTGCCATGGATTAAAGAAAAAATGTCAGTTGAAGAGATTTCCAATTCCAGAGATATGAATAACATAGTTTTCCCTATTTTTCCTGCTCAGTACAACTAAAAGACTATAGAAATGCTGTATAAAATTTACCTAAAAAGACTCTGAACAGTGAAGAAAAGAAATAAAGGATATATAAAAACCTCAGGACCAAACAAGGGAAAAATACAGTGGATTTTCTTTTAACCCTATCTGTCTTAAGTATGTTGCTACATGACAACCCAGAGAGACCAACTAGTACAGACAAAATTTTGTTTAACATTGCCATTAGAAGACTCTAGCCAAGGGATTAGGAAGGGGATTGCATAAAAAGAGAGATGTTTTTAAACGACAAGTTTTCTCCCTAAGCTAAATGCCATAGAAAAGATGATGGCCCCACTTCCATTGAGTCATGCTGTAGTGAGGTGCCCAAGTCTCTAGCCAGGCTGGTACATGGGAAGATCAATCTGGGAATCTCTGGCTTACAAGGCCAATTCTGGAAATCTGGGGATTTAATTCTTGTCAGACAGAACCAAGTCTCTCCCTGTGGTATCAACTGAGATCAGAAGGAAAGCCTAGACTTCCGCCCCTACTGAGCTGTGACGAGGAACTCCCTTCACTCCCTGCAGGAGCAGTCTCAGAGATGGCTTAATGCTGAGTCAGGACTTGCATCATAGTCCAGTGATATGAAGGGCATCCCTCTCCCACCCACCCACAAACACTATAATGTCACTGGAGGTCACATGGTCAGCAGTAATGAAGCTTTAGTACTAATTCCAGCCAAAGATACCCCTCGTGGTTTCAAGATATTTTCTTTATTTTCGCCAATACTGATAAAAGGTATGAGTAAATGCAACAAACTCTCCTCCTCTTGAATTCTCTCAATGACGTTTGACATTGTAGCAAAAATTATACTACTTGAAATCCTTCTAAATATATAGAAATGGCTCTAGAATATAATTGTCTTAATTTGAAAATTAAGACAATTATAAAATAAATAAGGGAAGGTAAACGTATGTAAATAGAAATTAGATTTCTACATATCAGTTAAATTGGTAAAATTATTAAACCAGTAAACTACAATAAGTTATGCATATATAATATAATGTCTACAGAAACTACTAACAAAAACTATATACAGATATACTGTAATATCATATAAAGCAAAATAGAATTTTTAAAACTCTCCAAGACACACAGGAAGGTAGAGAAAAATAGATAATTTTTTAAAACCCAGAAAACAAAAATAAACAGGCATTAAACATAACACATTTACTACATTAAAAGCAAATTTGCTAAATAGACCAATTAAAAGGCAGAAATTGAAAGCATGGATTAAAAAACGTGACCCAACTAATTGTTGTCCACAAGAAATTCACTTCAAAAATAATTACATAAGCAGGTTAAAAGCAAAATGATAGGAAAAGTTATACCACAAGACATTTATAGAGAAAAAGCAAGATTCGCTATGTTAATATCAGATAGACTTCAGAGCAAAGAAAGTTATCAGATATATAGAATAATATTATATAATGATAGAAGAGTGAATCCAACAGAACACATAGCATACTAAATGTGTATGTACCAAATACCAGAGCTACAAAATATATAAAGCAAAAACAGATAGAACTGGAGGGAGAAACTGTCAAACCCAAAATTATTGTTGAAAACATCGACACCTTTACTGAGCACCTTCCATATGTAAGGCACTCTGCCTGGCATTGTGAACGCAGTATTAAAAAGAAAACACAGCTCTGATGGGCATGAAACTCATGGTATATTAGGGAAGACAAATGTTACTTGATTATAAAATCATTTAATTTGTCAGTATGATAAATGAGAATCTCAAAAACACTAAAAGTTTAATCTCTCTCCTTTAAAATGACCTATTTTTAAAATTAACAATAAGTAGATAAATATGTAACTCCCAAGCTGCATAATTTAATAGAATCTGTTTTCTTATTTTGTTGTCCAGAGGTAATAAAAAAAATCATGTTGTCCCAATGTAGACTGAAAATACTACCCACAGATGAAATATATCCCACAGTTAAAAAAAAAAAAAAAAGAGTACTCTGGATAGTTCTAATTTCTTTGCTTCTTCCACTAATGCAATTCACACTGATCAGATACCTGCCATTCTCTTTCTCCACAGTGTCACCTCTGAGGCTGATGGGAACTCAGAGCATAAGATAAACATATTACGAATGGGCGAAGGAATGGGTTGGTGAAAGCAAGACTTACCCCAAAGCAGTAGAAACCATGAAGACAATACGGATGAGCTGACTTACCACAGTATAGATCTGATGCTTTCGTCTCTTAGCCAGGTCAATTATGTTTACTCCATTGTAGTAAAGGTTCTCGATGCATCCATGGAAGTTTTTCTTTAAAAAGGTCCCAGGTTTTCCTGGTACTGGAATTCCTCCAAAACTAAGCTTTTGGGGTGAAAATAAAAACAAACTCTTAGTTATAAGGTCTGAAATATTATGAAAGGAAAGTAAACACGTGCGTTTTTGGTAGATTCAATTGTACACATGAGCCAAGTAGCTCAAATAATTATAGATGCCACTTGATTACACATTTAAAAGGATGCTGATTAGCCCATGTAAAAATAACTGTAATTGCTTGCTTCTTAAGGGCCTATTTTACAAAACCATTTTCACTTCCTTTCTGAACTTTTTAATACTAAATAAAACAATAATTTACAGAAAGAGGGAAAAATGAAAAGAAAATCAGCATCTTTATAGTTATCTCTTATGCAAGCATCTTAGAAGATATGGCCATACTGAAGCCAAGAGACAAGCAAAATATACCTCTATTCTGCTACAGAAGAACCTAGTTTAAAAGCCTACATTGTATGCAAAAAGCCTTATGCATAAGATTGTCCACAATTGTCATCTACAATGATAAAAACAGAAAATATTTCAAATGCTCTATACAGTTTTGTAAAGCAAGTCATTAAAAATCAGTATGTTGAAAATTCACTTGTTAGTAATAACGCTAATTAAACACTTGTAATATAAAGGGAAGTGAATAATGTTGATTTAAAAATGCAAAAGTTATAATTGGGTATAAAGTCTGATGTAAGCAACAAGAAGTTGAGCATACAGCATAGTCTGGGAAGAAATACACTGAAATGTTATTATTAGTTTGTGCACTAAAGGTAATGGCAAAAACCACAATTACTTTTGCACCAACCTAATATAATAGTGGTTCACTTTGGAAAGGATATGGGATACTAGGTTTGTTTTTTTTTTTACCACTTTTATTTCTAATTAATATTGACACAAATTACCTTTTTAATAGATATATTATTTTAAAAGCAAAGTGGCCTGTTATGAGTATTTTTTTCTATTATGAAAAAGAATCAAGATAATTTCTATTATCTGATTTACTCCAATATCATTTAATGAGAAACTCGGTTTTTTTCACTGCTTTAAATATCACCGTCAGCATGTACTACAACTATATCTATATTTGGATACTTCTCTGTCTTTTTCTATTTCACTGTCTCTTTTTTATCTGTCTCTCTCCCTTAATGTTTCAGGAGGATGTGGCCTCCCAATCAGAATGTCTTTTTATATGAATAGCTAATGATATGCTAAAGGCTATTTCTAGATTTTTTTTACAAGCTTCACACTAGTAAAAAAAAAAAAAGTTTTTTAATGCAGTGTAACAGCTGAAGAGGATTATTTATCTTGTTGTCCACTTTTACTTACAACTACTTTAGTTTTTAAAGAGAATTATTTGATATTTTATCTATTTCATTTTAAAGTGTAATTACAGGATAATTTTATTTCACTAGCTTGTAGGAATTTTTATTGGTTATTTATTATTTACATTAAAACATTCAGTTTTTAAAAAAATATTTTATTTTTGTTTCCAAGAATAATTCTAATAAAATCCCTCCACTAAAGTTATTATTTTCTTTCTTTCTCTAGTTTACATAGTCATCATTAAATTAATTTTTATGAATTTCACTATTTAAAAAATTACATTGCATATAAATTGTTTTAATTCATTAAACATTTATGTAAATACTATGCCAATCTTTTTGCTTTGGTATATTTTCTTTATCCAGATGCTTGTATATATTTTTATAAGAAATAATAGACTTTTTAGTTTCTTTTTTAATTTGTGAAGAAGATACAGGCAATACTGTGTTTTATTGTACTTTGCTTTCTTGTACGTCACAGATTTTGTGGTTTTCATAAATGGAAGGTTTGTGCCAGCCCCGAGGCAAGCAACTCTATCGGTACTATTTTTCCAACAGTGTGCACTCACTTTGTGTCTTTGTGTTAGTTTTTTTTTAGCAATAAGATATTTTTAAATTGAGGCATATATATTTTAAATATAATGCTATTATAGCACACTTAATAGACTGTAATATAGTATAAACATAGCTTTTGTATGTACTACAGCACCAAAAACTTTGAACAACTTGATTATTGCAATATTTGCTTTATTGCATTGGTCGGGAACCAAATCCACAATATCTCCAAGGTATGATAGTAATCATATGATATGTATATATATAGTTTATATAATTATATTATATTGATTTATTTATATCAATTTATTGAATAAGGTGACATATATGAATATACATATTCATATATAATAAATAAGGTGACATAGATGTCACCTTATTCAATAAATTGATATCAAATCAATTTCTTATACATTTATTTCCTATTTTACTGTCTCAGTTAAAACTTCCTAACTTCTAATGAACTTCTTCATAATTGCCACAAAAGGAACAAAATACCCAGAAATACAGCTAACAAGGAAAGTGAAGGGCCTCTTCAAGAAGAACTACAAACCACTGTTCAAAGAAATCAGAGAGAGCACAAATGGAAAAACATTCCATGCTCATGGATAGGAAGAATCAATACTGTGAAAATGGCCATACTGCCCAAAGCAATTTACAGATTAAATAATATTCCTACTAAACTACCATTGACATTCTTAATAGAATTAGGAGAAACTCTTTTAAAATTCATATGAAATCAAAAAAGAGCTTGAGTAGCCAAGACAATCTGAAGTAAAAAAAAACAAAGCTGTAGGCATCATGCTAGGCTACTTCAAACTACACTACAAGGCTAAAGTAACCAAAACAACATGGTACTGGTATAACAACAATCACGTAGACTAATGAAACCATAGTATAAAGGGCCCAGAAATAAGACCACACACCCACGACCATCTGATCTTTGACAAACCTGACAAAAATAAGCAATAGGAAAAGGATTCCCTATTTAATAAATGGTGCTGGGATAACTGGCTACCATTTGCAGAATATTGAAATTGGACCTGTTCCTTACACCATATACAAAAATCAACTCAAAATGGATTAAAGACTTAAATGTAAAACTCCAAACTATAAAAACTGCAGAAGAAAGCCTAGGCAATACCATTCAGGACATAGGCACATGCAAAGACTTCATGCTGAAGATGCCAAAAGCAATTACAACTAAAGCAAAAATTGGCAAATGGGATCTGATTAAACTAAAGGGTGTCTGTATTACAAAAGAAACTATTATCAGAGTGAACAGACAACCAATAGATTGGAAGAAAAATTTTGCAATCTATCCATCTGACAAAGCCCTAGTACCCAACATCTACAAGGAACTTAAATAAATTTACAAGAAAAAAACGAGCAATCCCATAAAAAAGGGGGGGACAAAGGACATGAACAGGCAGTTCTCAAAAGAAGACATGCATGCAGCTAACATGTGAAAAAAAATCTCAGCATCACTGATCATTAGAGAAATCCAAATCAAAACCACAATGAGATACCAACTCACACTAGTCAGAATGGCTGTTACTACAAAATCAACAACAGATACTGACACAGTTATGGAGAAAAAGAAATGCTTTCACACTGTTTATGGGGGTCTCAATTAGTTTAACCATTATGAAAGACAGTGTGGCTATTCCTCAAAGACCTGGTGGCAAAAATACCATTTGAAACAGCAATTTAATTACTGGGTATGTACACAAATGAATATAAATCATTCTCTCCTTTTTATATTTTTGAGACAGAGTTTTGCTCTTGTCCCCCAGACTGGAGTGCAATGGCATGCTCTTGGCTCACTGCAATCTCCCCCTCCTGGGTTCAAGCAATTCTCCTGCCTCAGCCTCCTGAGTAGCTGGGATTACAGGTGCCTGCCACCACACCCAGCTAATTTTTGTGTTTTTAGTAGAGACGAGGTTTCACCATCTTGGCCTGGCTGGTCTCGAACTCCTGACCTCGTGATCTACCTGCCTCGGCCTCCCAAAGTTCTGGGATTACAGGCATGAGCCACCGTGCCTGGCCACTAAATAATTCTCTTATAAAGACACATTCATACATATGTTCCTTGCAGCACTATTCACAATAGCAAACACATGAAATTAACCTAAATGCCCATCAATGATAGACTAAATAAAGAAAATGTGTATGTATACCTCATGGAATACTATGCAGCCATAAAAAGGAATGAGATCATGTCCTTTTCAGGAGCGTGGATGGAGTGGGAGGCCATTATGCTCAACTAATGCAGGAACTGAAAACCAAACACTGCATGTTCTCACTATAAGTGGGAGCTGAATGATGAGAACACATGGACACACAGAGGTGAACAACTCACAATGGGGCCTGCAGGAGCTTGGGAGAAGGGAGAGCATGAGGAAGAATAGCTAACGGGTACTGGGCTTAATACCTAGGAAATGGGATGTTCTGTGCAGGTAATCACTAAGGCACATGTTTACTATATGAAAAATCTGCACATCCTGCACATGTACCCCTGAACTTAGAATAAAAGTTAAAAGAGAAATCCATTTTGGATTTGCAAATTTTTTATATACATCAAATCTATAATGTAAAAATTCATGTTTAAATGGATACTTATTACTTTTACTTATTTATTTTTATTATTTTAAATATTTAATGATAATGTTATTTTTGTGTTGGCTACCTTCCTCAATTTCAAAACGTTAATGCTCTACTTCACTTAGTTATGGTTCAAGAAAATATTGTTTGCAGGAAAAAGTTAAAAATAAAGGGAAAAAAGCTGCCGTTTTAAAAATAGCAAAACATAGTGCTTAAAAGTTTCAGGGTAGAGAGACTTTTCAGTCAGGTGATATAGAGGGTACTATATATAGTTGAAAATTGTAGTTTCCTATTACACTGTGGGGAGCAATCTCTCTTCTACTCTGGGTAGAAGATTTTCAGAGGAATTTGGTTGAGACAAGAGTACAGTTACGCAGTAGCATGAGGCCTGCTCTCTGGTTCTCCCTGAGCGATTGAAACTAGATGAGATTTGGGTGGATATGGATAGTGGTCACAATGCAGATCTTGGAAGGCACAGAAAGCTACTTCCTCCTAGAAGAACCCATGGTTGTGATGGCTGCAAGCCTGTTAGAGCTGTCTCAAGTTCAGCATGACCCCAGA